GTGTGTGTGGCCGCTCACTGCCTCCCCCATTCCACACACCTACCTACCCACCAACCACCCCACCCACCACCCGCCTACCTCCCCACGCAGGTGGAGCACGAGCTCCTGCACCTGCTGGTGCTGCTGGATGTGCGGCGCAGCGGCGCGGCAGAGGCGCCGGTGGGCGTGCCGCTGGCGCCGCCTCAGCCCGACGGCGCGCCCCCGCTGCTGCGCTGCACGGCGGCGGACGCGGGTGAGCGGCTGGGCGGGGTGGGTGGGTGTTTGTGGGCGGTGGGGTGGGGGGCTGCCTGCCTGGCGGGATTTGATCGAGGCCTGGCCCGCCTGCCTGCCTGCCTGCCTGCCTGATCCCTGCCGCGCCCCGCCGCGCCGCACCCCTCGCCTCCTGCCCCCACACACCCCGCCCCACACAACCACACCAACGGCGCCGAGCAGACGCCCTGCCCCCTCCCTGGCACCACAAGCCCGAGCCGTGGCGCAAGGCGGTGACCGCGGCGCTGCGCCCGCTGCACCGCGCGCTGGCGGCGCTGGAGGCGGCGGCGGCGCTGCCCGGCTACCGCGCGGCTTCCCTGGCGCAGCTGCAGAGCGACGCCGCCATGCTCATCTGCAACCTACAGGTGTGTGGGTGGTGGCGGTGGTGGTGGTGGTGGTGTAATGTACACGCACACTTGCACACACACACACAAACCTCTTGGCCGCCTGCCTCACCCGCCCGCCCACCTGCCCGTCTGCCGTGTTTGCCGCGCCGCAGGGCGTGGGGGCGGAGCATGCGGGGCAGGACAGCGGCGTGGGCCTCTTCCCCGCCGCCGCCTCGCTCAACCACTCCTGCCGCGCCAACTGCCACTCCGTGACCATGGGTGGGTTTAGGGTTCGGGGGTTTAGGGATTGGGGTGTGCCGCGTGCTGGCAGCCGGACGGCAGGCCCCGAGCGTCGTGGCAGCTGCAACCCTTTGTTGTGCTCATACGCAGGCAGCCGCCTGTCTGTCGTCACCCCTCCCCTCCTGCCCCCGCCCGTCCCTGGCATCACTCCACACTGACACACACCGCCCCCCACACACACCACACCTGCCTACCCTCTACCCCCACCCCCCACCCCCCTCCACCCCCATGCAGGCCAGACAATGCATGTCCGTACCGTGGTAGACGTGGTGGCGGGGCAGCAACTCACGCTGTGCCATGCCCCGCAATACGAGCCCCGCCCCGTGCGCCAGGCCGCGCTGTTGCAGGCGCGTGTGGCTGTGTGTGCGTGGGGGGGTGGGAGTGTGTGTGTGTGTGTGTGGAGAGAGAGGGTGTGTGCGCTGTGTGCGGGTGGGCAGTCCATAAAGGGGGGGCAAGGGAGTGGGGGGAACACACGGGGGATGGAGTCACGCACACACACACACACACACACCTGCCTGCAGGAGCGCGGGCTGGCCTGCGCCTGCGAGCGGTGCATCGAGCCGCTGGCCACCTCCACCGACCGCTTCCTGGAGGGGGTGTGGTGCCTGGCCTGTACCGTGGACGTGCTGGTGGCGGTACCGCCCGGTACGCCCGAGGCCGCAGCCGCCGCTGCGCGGTATGAGGAGCAGGTGGGGCGGCGCCTTTGGCTTTGGGGTGCTGTGTTGCTGTGCTTCATGCCTGGGGCTGGCTGGGTGTGTTGCCTGGGCCTGTGTCTAGTTGGCTTGGCCTGTTTACCTGCCTGGGGCTGGCTGGCTGGTGAGGCGGGGGGCTGGTGGGTGCGAGGTGGGTGGAAGAAAAAGAGGGAGGGTGGGGAGCATGGGCCGGCGCCGAGGCGCCCTGGGGGCGTTGTGCCAGAAGTGCCTGCTTTCTTCTTCTTTCCACCCTCGCTGTGTTTCTTGCTCTCACTGTGCCCGCTGCAGAGCCGCTGCCGCCGCTGCCTGCCTGCCTTGCGCCGCAGCCGGCTGTGCCCGCTGCCGCTCTTACCGTGCCGCCGCCGCTGCCTGCCTGCCTGCCTGCCCCCCTGCTGCAGCTGGCTGCCTGGGACGCGGAGGACGCGGCGGCGGCCAGGAAGAGCAGGAAGGGAGGCAAGAAGGCGGCGGCAGAGGAGCAGCAGCAGCAGGGGCAGGAGGCCGCGCCGGAGGCTGCCAACGGCTCGGCCGCAGCAGAGGAGGAGGCAGATGGGAAGGAGGGGCAGCAGGAGGGGCTGGAGGGCGAGCAGGCGGAGGCGGAGGTGGGGTTCTGGCGATGCGCGGGGTGCGGCCACGTGGAGCCGGCACACACCACCGCAGGCAAGCATGCACAACCACACACACACACACACAGACACACACACACACATGCGCGCACACACACAGACACACTGTCTGCACGCACACAATGCACGCGCACCGCCTCCCCGCCTACTTCCCCCAGCCTGCCTACCTGTGTGTGCCTGCCTTCCTCCCTGCCGACCCTCCACTGCCCGCCCGCCTGCCCGCCCGCCTGCCCACCTGCCTGCCTGCAGCCAACGGCCCCGGCGACGTCATGCTGCAGGCAGACAAGCTGTGGCAGCAGGGGGCCATGCTGTACCAGGTGCGCGCGTGTGGGTGGGTGGGAGGTTGTGTGGCTGTGTGTGTGTGTGTGGGTGGAGGGAGGGATGTTGTGTTGCTTCCACCTGCTGCCTCCGCCTGCCCTGCCTCCGGCCCCTGCCCCCACCCCGGCACCTCCTCGCCCCCGCCTCCTCCCAAGCTGCCCCAAACACACACACCCTGCTGGCCCCACACCCTCCCTACTGGTCCCAAACACACACCCCATGCTCCCCGCCCGCCTGTGCAGGTGAAGATGGCCCAGCTGATGCCTCAGGCCGAGGAGTTTCTGCGCCAGCTGCAGCAGGGGGTGGAGGGGCGGCTGCACCCCTACCACTCCCGCATCATCGGTGAGGCGCGCTTTCTTGTGTGGTCTTGTGCGTTCTTTTTGGTGTGTGCTGGGTGGAGGGGCGGCTGCACCCTACCACTCCCGCATCATCGGTGAGCGGCGGCCGTGTGGCCTTGCGCTGACCTTTCTTGCGTGTGGCCTTGCGCTTCCCACCCCACGCACGCTCTCCAGCCCCGCCACCCCACCCCACATTGCCGTTCAAAGCCCACACACTCTCCAACTCTGCCACCCACAGCCCCCACACACTCCCTCCAACCCTGCCACCCCGCTTCAACCCACCCCACACCACCTGCTCCACCCCTCCCACTCCACCCTGCCCCCCCACCCCCACCGCGCAGACTCCCTGTCTCCCCTCATCAGCCTGGCGCTGCGGCGTGGCGACGCCCTGGCCGTCTTTAACTACTCGGCGCTGCTGTGGGAGGCGCAGCACGCGGTGCAGGTGGGCAGGTTGGGTGTGGGAGGGGTGGGAGGGGTGGTGTGGGAGGGGCGGTGCAGGTGGGCTGCGTGCTGCTGGGTGGGAGGGGCGGCGTGGGAGGCGCAGCACACGGTGCAGGTGGGCGGTACTGGTGGTTGCCGCGGGCAGCGTTGCGGCGCTCGCTGCCGGTGTGCACTAAGCACCAGGATCGTTGGCCCTGCCCTGGCGGCGACCCCCGTGCCCCGACCTTGCGCTTCCTCGCCGTGCCGTGCGGTACAGGCGCGGTACAGCCTATCCCAGCTGCAGTACCTCAACGCCATCATCGACACCTCCGCCGCCAAGGTGCGCCCCGCACCGCCCTGTTTTTACTGGCAACGGCCGCCCATTTCTGCCTTCGCCTTTGCGCCCTGCCGCGCGCCCTGTCAGCAGCCGGGGGGGTGCCGCCTGGCCCGCCGCTGCCGCCTCCAACTCTCTGCCGCGAATCCCATCCCCTAGGCCCGCCGCCAAGCCTGGGGCCTGTGCCGCGAGCTCCTTTGCGGGCATGCAGACTGCACACACAAAAACTAGAAACCAACACAACAGCAAAAAGCAAGCCCCCCTTCACTTGGCCTTGTGCCCCGCAGGCCGCCCACGCTCAGAGCGCTGTGGTGAAGCGCCAGTTTGAGAAGAAGCTCAAGGCGGCCCAGGTGGGTGGGCGGGTGGGCGGGTGGGTGGGTGGGCGCTGCTGCAGCTGGGAGCAAGGGGGAGAGCGCTGCCGGGGGCAAAGGGGGCACGCGCGATTTCGTGTGCCGTGCCGCGGCGCGGCGCCGCCACGTGTCCCCCTTTTGCTGCATCTTGGTGGCAGCAGCCATCCAGCTATTGGATAGATGTCAATGCTTGGATAGATGTCAGCGCTTTCCCTGGCATGCTCCCGAGCCTTCCTACCTGCCTGCCGGCGCGCCTGCCTCTACCTCCCTGCCTGCCTGCCTGCCTGGCCCGCGTGCCTGCAGACGACTGCCGCAGAGATCCGGCGCGTGCTGCTGGGCAAGAGCTGAGGCGCGGGTGCGCTGGAGCGGCGGGGAGGGGACGGCCCGCCTGCCTGCTGCCCTGCCCCAGCATGTATATGCGGCAGCGGCGGCATATGGGCCCTTGGCAGGACGCCTGGGCAGCCTCCGCGGCGCGCGGCGCAGCAGGGAGCAGCGCAGCGCGAGCGCGGCATGCACAGACAGGCTGCGCCTTCATCAGCGGCTGCATTGCGGCGGTGCAGCTGGCCGTGGCCTGGCCTGAGCGCAGAGCTTGCAGCCATGTAAGATGCAGTTGCCCGCGAGAGAGATGGGCGAGGGGCGGCGACCGCTGGGTGGCGGCCGCATGGGCGCTGCCTGCTGCACACACCCGACAGGCTCCGGGAGGGAAGGCTTTTACAGGCCAGGCATGAGGCAGATGGTCAGCCAAGACAATGTACGGAAACGGGAGAAGTACGAATGGCCTGGCGGCGGTACAGGCCGTCTTCAGCGCCTTTGGCCACGCCTCAGCAGCTCAGACGTAGTCTGAGCATGGTAAGCACCGGGGATAGGGCAGTGCAGCTCTGTGCTCGGTGACGGTTCGCTCCAACCAACCCGCGCCAACCCGACAGGATTTGGCAGCAACGGGCGGTTCCAGGCCGCCTGCGCTGGGGCTTGCACACCGCAGGGGCGTGTAACCGGGCATGCGGTTGGTCCAGGGCGGCGATGGCGAGGGCCTGGCTGCATACGCACGGCCCACCGGCAGGTGAGGAACCATTCGCTGCGGTGGCCCGCATGCATCGCCGGATCTGCAAGGCAGATTGCTGGCACTTGCCCCGCCGCTGCCTCCCCGCCGCCAGCCGCCGCCCACCACCGGTTGCGTCTGCCCGCCGTGCAGGCCATCGCTGGCCAACCTGCTGACCGCCCTGGGCCTGCTGACCGCCCTGGTGGTGCTGGTAGCCAGGCTGGATCGCGGCAGCGGCGCCGGCGCCGGCGCGTGCCTGACGGGCAGGAGCGCCGCGGACGGCGCCGCCGCCGCCGCCGCCCCCGCGCGCGGCGTGCTGTCCACCGCCTTTGGCGGCGTGCGCCGCTTCTCCCTTCCCGGCAGCTTCGAGCGCGTGTTCCCCTCGCTGGGCAATGGCAGTGTGGCAGGTGTACTGCACCTGTACCTCAAGGCGGCGCTGGTCGGCGGCGACACGCGCATGAAAGGCGTGGCCGTCTTCGAGTTTGTCGACTACCCGCGGCACTACACCCAGCGGGACATCCACAAGGATGCGGGCATACTGACGGTACCGGAGATGCGCGCGCTGCGCCTGGGCGTGCGGTCGGCAGCGGGCGGCTGGGAGCGGGCGGTGGCGGTGGAGTGGCAGTGCGGGCTAGAGTGGCGACCGCGCGAGCGGCGGCCGCCACCGTGCGTGGCCGCCGAGCAGAACGGCAGCAAGCCGTACCTGCGCATGCCAGACGTGTACCACGACTTTGGGCGGCTGCGGGACAGCGACGTGGAGCTCTTCGTGCACGGCTGGCCACGCTACGTGTCGCTGGCGCCGCTGCTGGCGGCGGCGGCACCAGCCCCAGTCGACCCGCTGCGCCCGCCGCCCGAGCCCGCCGCCACCGTCCAGCTGCTGCCCTACCCGCGCGGCCTGCCCGCGGGCTTTGTGGCGCAGCTGCTGGCATGGCGGGCGGAGCACCATGTGCCGCTGGGCATCCACACCACCTACATGTATGTACAGCCGTGGGACGAGGAGGCGCTTGCGGCGCAGCCAGCAGTACGGAGCCTGGCAGCTGCGGGCCAGCTGCGGCTGGTGTCCTGGGCCGAGTTTGCGGGGTACCGCGACTGGAGCGTGTACGATCTGACGGTACAGGCGGCGCACGGCGTGCTTTCCTTCTGGGCCACAGACACACGCGTGTGGGTGGCAGACCTGGATGAGTTCCTCGTCACGCCCCTGGCGGGGGTACCCGCCGTGCTTTCCTCCCCCGCGTGCCGGCCGCGGCCTGCGGGCTGCTACACGATGTACCGGTACAACGTGGTGCTGCCGCCGGGGCCCGATGGTACGGCACGGGACGAGGCCGCCCTGTGGCGCGCGCCCGGTCCCTCGCCGCTGCTGGCACAGTACCAGCGGGCGCTGGCATATACCGACTTCATCCCCCCCAAGAGCTTCGTCGACCCAAACAGCGTTACCCCCGTCACCCTGCACTTCAGCACCGCCTGCACAGGCGGCAACGGCACAGCCTCGCCGTGCGCCGTCCAGCTGGCCTGCGCGCCCGTGCGCCAGCAGTGCGCATGGGTTGCCCACTTTCGAAAAAAGTTTACGCAGCGCAAGCCGCTGCCGGCGGTCAAACCGACGGCGGCGCTGACCCCGGGCCGGCACCCCTTGGGCCAACCGGCGGCCTTTTGGGGGGCGCCTGAGGCGCGATGAGAAGCAGCGGGCCCCTCGGGGCAGGCATGCTGCGCCCGCGCCGGCAGCACCCTGGCAGCACCTTTTTCCAGCATTTTCTTGCACATTGCAACCCATTCGTCTGCCTGTGTAACTAAGCCGGCCGCGTGGCGCCACGTGCGCGGGTCCTGTGCACAGTGTTGGAACCAGGGCTGGGGCCCTCCCTGCTCCCAGTTCCCTGCTCGCCGGCACATGATGCGGCGGCGCGCGCCGGTCCCGCAGCTTCCTCACACCTTCTTCACCAGCTGCACGATGTCCTCGTCCTGCAGCACGTGATCCTTGCCCACCTGCGCCCGCCAGCGGTACCAGGCAGCAGGCACACATACGGTGAGGCAGCATCGGGAGGGGACAACCTGCCGACACACTATAAAGGGCCTGCTGCCTGCCTGGCCAGCCCCGCAGCACAGGACGGCACATGACAGAAAATAGGGCATGGTGGCCGCCTGGCCTGCCCCGCAGCAACGCAGCCGTGGCACGGCTGCAGCCGCGGCCCCACGGTTGCCGCCGCTGCTGCCCTGCTGCGCTGCCGCGCCGCCCAGGGGCCACCCGGCCCAGCCATCCGCTGCCAGCCGTGCTTCCCCCGTCCCTCCGAGGCGGCCTCGCCGGTCCCCTGCCCACAGCCAACCCCTGACCCCCCGGCGCCGCCGCCGCCGTGCATCCCCAGAAGTTATCATGTTTCCCCCTACACACTCGCCTTTTGCGGGCGGTGCTTCACGCTGGAGCCCCACACCAACGCATACTTGAACTGCTTGATGAGCGTCTTGTGTAGCCGGTTGCAAAAGTCCTGGCGGGGAGGGAAGAAAGGAGGAAGGGAGCAGGAAATAAAAGGATGAAAGGTAGAAAGCAGGGAGCAGGACGGAAAGTGGATGAGGGGCGGGAGGGGGGGGTGGACAGCGGGCAGGCGCCGGTGAGCGCGTGCCCCACCCCCCGCTGCTTTTGGTGTGTGCCGCATGAGGGCAAGGGCAGGGCTGCTGCGGAGCGAGGATGCCACACGGCGTGGCGCTGCGGCCACACACCCGCCACACCACAGCACACACCACAGCAACCGCCTGCTGGCGGCAGCCATAACAACATAGGGCTCCCACCCTCAGCACACACCCACCTCCACCGTGCATCGTGCCGCAGGCAGTACCACCGGATCCGTCCAGTCTGGCAGCTTCCCTGCAGGTACGCATCAGCAGCGGCGGCAGCAGCAGCACCAGGTGAGGCGGCGCCACACAGGGACTGGACCGCCAGCTGCCTGCACCGCCTCATCAGGGCTGCTCCTGACCAGCCCGACTGAGGCCCCCGGTGCCGCGCCCACCAAACTTCTCCTGCCCAGCACATATGCACGTGCCGCCTGCCTCGCCAGGCCAGCCACCACCCAGCACCCAGCACCTCAGCCGCCGCCGAACATGCCAGCCGCGCGCTGCTTTCCACCCCGTGCTTTCCACCCCGCGCCTTCTACCCCGTGCCTTCCACCCACCCTTGGGCTTGGTGTAGATGCGGATGAGCTGCAGGTACTCGAAAATCATCTCCACCAGCCCAGTCAGATTCCACTGCAAATAAACAAAGGACACCAGCAGGCGTTGGAAGTTGGTTCATACATGTTGTTGACAACTGCCTCAGCACTCGTTCTGGGCTGCATGTGCGCAATTGATAAGGAAGGGGGCGGGTGCGGCACAGCGGGCGGTACGCCTGCAGCCGTACCTCGTGGTAGGCGCAAACGGGGCAGTAGTGGGGCAGCTTGTCCAGCACGTTCAGCTCCTCGATCGTGATCTGGTGGGTTCGATCGAAAACACAGAAGGAAAAGCGGTCAGAGCAACAGGTCATTATGTGGCTCGAAAAAATGAAACAGGCACGATGCACGGTGCACGCAGCTGCGGCGCAGGCACGCAGGGAGGGCCGCGGCGGGCAGCGGGCGGCATGCGCAGGCAGGCACCTGGTCAATCTTGTTGACGGCGTAGATGCTGCGGCAGGGAGGGGGCGGAAACGGAATGCAACGTGGGGCGCGGAATGCAACATGGGCCGGGGCGGCAGCTGGGGCCGCATGCCGGGGCTGGGCACGGTAGGCACGCCCAAGCGCGCCGCTCAGCCAAGCGAGCCGCCCAGCAGAGGCTCAGGCGCTGGCCATGAAGGTACATAGAATGCAAAACTCGTGTATATAGAAATTCGAACTAAAGCTTCGCTCACCAGGGGATGTACACGCGGCTGCCCTCGATCACGTCAATCAGGTCGTCAACCTCGTAGTCCTGGTGGAAAGAATGAAAAGATAGAAAGGCGACCTGTGAGTGAGGCGGGCCTCGCCGGGAGCAGCAGGCAGGGGGGGAGGCGGGGGGGCACCCCTCACGCCGCAGTCTGCTCCCGCAAGCCCGCACACACCCTGCCTGCCTGCCCGCCTGCCTGCCCCGCAGCGCAGCGCAGGCAGGAACGCAAGGGAGGGCTGTGACACAGGCTCGCCCAATCGCATGGCACGGCAGCACAGCGCTCTGCTTGTGCAAGCGCCGATGCAGGCGGCAGCACACAGAGCAGGCACGACAGCACGCAGGCACGGCGCACAGCAGGCACAGAACAACCGCAGAACAAGCACAGATGGGAGGAGGAGGAGAGGCAGGAGGAGGAGCAGGACAACAGGGATAAGAGGGAGAATAGGAAGGAGGGAGGGGGGTGGGAGAATGGACAGGAGGGGAGGGCTCAGACCCACAGGCCCACCTGCTTCAGGTGCACGTCTGCGTTGTGGATGCGGTACTCCGACAGTACGGACTTGACGGCTGCGATACAGGTGGGGCGGTACAGGTGGGGCGGTGCATGGTGGGCGGAGCAGGTGGAGCCGCCAGCGGCGCTGCACAGCCAACTCAGCCCACCCGCACCCGCACCCAACCACAGGCCAGCCGCGCCCCCGGCAGCCCCAGCAGCAGCAGCAGGCAGGCGGGCCACCCACCCTCCAGGCAGCAGCAGGAGCATGGAGCAGCAGCGGTGCGGCATGGAGCACCACCACCCACCCTCCAGGCAGCAGCAGCAGCAGCCCCAGCAGGCAGGCAGGCAGAGACCACCCACCATCCAGGTCCAGCTTGGGGTTTGGTACCGCAGACGTGTAGTTGATGCCGCCCTTGTCTTTCTTGCGGTACGTGATCTCCGGGGGGCGCTTGTTGAGGCGTATGCCAAAGCCTGTTGGAAAGGGTCGAGGGGGAGGGAGGCGGCGTCGCGTTCCTTTTTACTTAAAGTCCGGAGTGGAGGGGGAGGGAGGCGGCGGCTGTTGGCGTTGCTGCTTGGAAGTTTAAAATCTGGTGGCCGCGAGTTCGAACTTGTTGTCTGCTGTGGCCTAG